GCACAAGCATGGAACAGATTCTTCCTCGGAGACTCCAGAAGGAACCACCTCTGCTGACACCTTGATTTTGAACTTCTAGCCAGAACCGTGAGAAAATGAATTTCTGTTGTTTGAAGCCTCCCAGTTTGTGGTACTTCCTTAGGGCAGCTCTAGAAAATTAACACAAACCCTTTGTTCACTTGCTATTAACATCAGCATCTTATGTATAGGATTTTCTGGCCCTAAATATTTCTAAAAGGGCAACCAAAAGCGATATACAAGAATGTATTGCTATGGACACATAAGAAAAATGTGTCATCTCTCTGTGTACATGTCTTTCATCCACATACCTATGGGAAGCTTACATGATTTCACTCTATTTGCTACGGTCTGAATGTTTGTGTCCCCCACCCCCCAGTTCATACGTTGGACATTCTAACCCCAGTGATGAGAGTGTTATTGGTGGGGCCTGTGGGGCATGCTTAGGTCATAAGGGCGGAACCTTTGTGAATGGAATTGGTGCCCTTATAAGAGATTCCCCAGAGCTCCTTAGTCCAGTCAGCCATGGGAGGACACAGGAAGTCCGTGACCCCAGATGGGCCCTCAGGCGACCGTGCTGGTACACTCATGTCAGATGTTCAGCCTCCAGAACAGTGAGCAGTAAATTTCCGCTGTTTCTAAGCCACCCAGCCTGTGATGTTTTGTTACAGCAGCCCGAATAGGCTAAGATGATATCTTTTCATCCTTCCTTCCTTGCTGAATAATATCTTCTTTAAAATGCCCAATGTGAGCAAACAGAGCTAGGTACTGGAGGGAGCAGTCGAGTGTCATATGAATTAGATTTGAAGCCTGATTTGGGAACTAATGAACAGGTATAAGTGCCTAACAATATGTGACACACAGTAGTCGCCCCATAACTGTGTACATAAATGCCTGTGTGTGTGTGTGTGGGGGGAGGGTGGGGAGGTGATGTGTCTATAAATACATGGGGTGGGGGGGATGTGTGTGTGACAATAATTCTGAGTTGCTTGCTTTACCTTTAAAATTGAGAAACTAACATTCTTCACAGGTTATGTCAGGATAAATAATGAGATGCTAAATGCAAATTTTCTTTTTAACCTCTAAACCCTCCTGTAGAGAACATTTACATTACCTATAAAAATGTCACCATCTCTCTAATGCAGGCTACAATACTATTTGTAGGTCCAGATTATGGAGTATGCCATGGGTAACTTGTTAAGGAATAACTATAAAAACTCTTTAAAATGTCTAACATAAAATTATTACAGTTGGGCTTGAAATCATGTAAAAGCAAATGGGTAGGACAGGTGATACAGGGAAGGAAACAGGTTCAGAGGGGTCAAGTAATTCACTCAAGGTCATGTAGCTTTCAAGAAGAAGAGACAATAGGGGTAACCTTCTTGTTTAAAATTCCTAAAACACCAGTCTAGCGTTCCGGCCAGAATTACTCATCTGGTTTGAAGCACAGATTGTTGATGGAGCCCCAAAACTAATCCACCTATTACTACTTATAACACGATGTGTTTGATTGCTTCATTTGTTTTCCCAGTGGGTTTCTAGTTTTACACTCCTATGAATTAATGCTCATGTGAACGTCATTGCTCATGAGTTGGTGGATACGGTGGATTGTCATTATATGAAAATGTTCAGCTTTAGAAGATTCTGCCAATGTTTTCCAAGGTTTTATTACTTTACAAGCCTACCAGCAGAACACGAGAATTTCAGTTGTTTCATGTCCTTGTCACAATAGGTTTTTTTCTCTTTCATTTTATCGATTCTGTTGAGGGTGTAGAGGTATCTCATTGTAATTTTCATTTGCATTTCCTTCATGACAAATGAAGTGGAGCTCCTTTTCATATGCTTTTTTAGCCGTTTGGATATCTTTCTATGTGTAAAGTGCTTGTTCAGGTGTTTTGCCCAGTTAGATTTATTTTTCTGAGTTTAAATAATAATGATCATTCCATTCATTGAGTGTACTATGTTGGATATACGGCATTAGCACTTTGTACTTAATGAATACAAAAACACTACTCAGTAGGGCATACGACTCTTACTCCCACTTCTCCGTTGAAGACTGAGCCCCTGAAATGTTCAGTAATTCATCCAAAGCCTCTCAGTTGCCTCTCACAAGAGTCTTGAACTCTAACCTGTGTGGTGTGTCTGTGGGGAATTCCAACCCCAAATCACATGCGAGGAAGCATTAAAAGGCCACGGGAATTTCTAATATGACTCCTTCCCCAAGTCAAGTCAAATAGAACCCTAGATTTTATCCATAGAAATGAAACTCTTGTTTGCTTCCAGAAGATACTAGGGGTGGAATAGTGTCACAAAATGTCTATGGAGCGCCCTGTGCCTTCCAGTTATGCCAACAGAATCCCAGCTTCACTGGGGAAGGTATTTATGTGTTGGTAGGTGAAACTATATATACTACTTTATTTCTATTCTGAAAGGGATTTCAAGATAAAATACACTAAGGATATAGCTCTGTAATGTTTTAGCAACTGAAAGCCAAGAGCTGCTGGGACCGAAGTTAACTCTTTGAGGACAAATTTAAGTATTATTAGAAAATATATATAAAGCTCTTGCATTGACAGCTCAAAAAAAATAACTCCCATTTATATGGCATCTAGCTGCAATTTGTGAATCACTTTCACGTGTTATCTCATTTGGCCCTCACACACCCCTCAAGGCGGATTGGACAGGAGCTGTTATTATGATTAATATTTCCATCTTATAAATGAAGCAACCAAAGCTCAGAGAGTTTCATTGGTTGCCTGAAGTCACAAAACTCTTAAATGGCTCTTCTAGGTGTCAAGGTCAGGTCTTCCGGTCTTTTCCCTGCACCACACATTCTCTTACCTACCTGGCGACATTGGACAGAACTGAGAATGCTCACAAAAGATTTGGCTTAGAGTTAAAACATCAGAACAGTTAGGAGTTCCCTAAGAGGGGGCATTTTTGGAAAAGTCACCGTGGCTGGGTAAAAAAAAATGGGCAGCATTGTGAGAGTTTCTGTTTGATTCATTTTTCACAGCTAAAGAAACTGGTCAGGGGAACCTGACTGTTTTAGGAAGTTTTTTTAAAGTTAAGGGGAATCCCTTTCACCCCTGCAGCCTGCAGAGGTTTTGTGACAGCTACTCCACAGTGCTAAAGCCAGACACAGAAGCAACTATCTAGTCCTCAGACATGAATTTACGAACAAAGAAATTCAGTCACCTTCCAGACGATAGGGCTATCACTGAAGGCACATTTCTACATTCCTCATGTCCCCAAGTGATAGGACATATTGTCATCAGAAAAATGGAGGTAACTAAGGCACATCTTTCCATTCTTAAGTAGAATTCTTTGTGCTACACCCTAAAGCTCACTATTTAAACGCTGTTAAAGAAAAAGGAATTCTAACCAAAATGAGTGTGTTTGCTATTCATGAAAATTTGACAAGTCCTATAGAGCAATGTTGGTGTGTTAAGCTTTTTATTCATGTTGGTTCCGATAAGTTTAGAAATGTCAACATAACTGCTTTGGAAAATAATACACAGCTGCCCATAGGAAACTTAAAATAAATGAAAAACATTCCAAATCCTGAATTGTGTCAAAAGACATACTTTGCCACAATCATCTTCCAAAATGTGCAAAAAGCTAGACTTAGACTCAGAGACCTAAATTCAACTTCTGGTTTTGCCACTAACTTGCTATACAATGCTGGCAAGTCACCTGACTTCTTTAAGTTTGTTTTTTCATGTCTGAAGTGAAGTGGTTAGATAAACTTAAACATAGATCTAGGATGACAGCTTTCTGTCTACTCCCCACTCGGGCTCCGGGGTCGGACAGAGTGAGTAGTATATGCTTGTTATTTATTAATTATTTCTTTTTTATTTTATTTTATTAGCATTTGTTTGATGTTGAATTTACTCCTGGGCCATAAGTTTTTGTTTCTTCAGTTTCTTCTGGGAGATCTTTTTCTTCTGTGCAACCTCCTCTTCTGGTTTAGGAACAATTTGTTCCTTTTCAGTTAGGATCATCTCAATGTGGCAGGAGAGCTCATGTAGGGGTTGATCCGCCCGTGAGCTCTGTAAGTTCTGCACAGCATCTTAGGAGCTTTATTCACTTGGATGTGCTCTATAACCAGAGAGTCTACATCTAAACCCTTAAGTTCAGCATTACTCTGCATTTTTAAGCATGTGCAGTAAAAGTTCTGCACTCTTTTTGGGCCACCAACCCTGCGTCCAACCCCACTGTTTAGCCTGGGCACACCTCCAAACTCCACCACTGTAATGACAGAAAAGCACACATTGTTTTTGTAATGTAACATCCTTTAGATACTTGGTGGCTTTTCGGATATGCATACCTTTGATGTCCTGGGCAGTTTCAAGAGTGTTCTTAAAATGAAACTGTAGATTCAAACCTCTCAATTTACATGATTTTGTGGGGTCCTCTGGGTCAAGAGAATAGAGAACCATTTTTAGAGGTCACCTCAGGCCACTTTTGGGAAGAGTAAATATTTCTTTCATGGACTTAAGGTGACTTATGATTGTAGCATTTCATAATTTTATGGCACAAATTTGACAAATTTCTAAAGAACATGAAATTGTGAAGATACAATTACACACACACACACACACACACAGACACACACAATCAGATGTCAATTATTAGGTGATTTTTACGTAGCAACCTTGTTGGGGGCGGGGGAAGCTTTAAAAACCTGTTGTCCTAAATCGATTGCATTAATCTAATTTTCCACTGCAGAATCAAATTTAAGGAAACATGACTTTTTAGAATTCTCAAATGCTATTTTCATTGAGACACTTTGTGATAAGCAAACGCCCAGTCTATGTATGTCACCCACACATATTTATTCATGCTAACGAAAGAATAATCTAAGGCAACTAATTTATAACACAGATATATATTCCCATTTACTTCCTTGGAAGATAAAAACACACTTGGATAGGTTAGCATTAGACCAAATAGGCTTTTTTATTTAAATTGTATCTTCGCTCACTGGGCTAGCTAAAATTGTTCACTGCAGTCTTGAATTGCCGTTTTCCATCAGTGTCTTCTTTTCCCACATTTTCCTTTGCACATCTTTTTGAATCCTCCTCTTCTTTTCACTCCGCCTCCCTCTTCCCTAACCAAAAGGTTTTTGCTCAGATTCAACTCCTTTACCTAAAAGAATGCATAAACGATTATCTCTTGGAGGCAGTTATATTTTAAAAGGACATCGTTTTCTAAACAAATATCTAGTTGGCCAAACAAAGTTCAGGCAATTTAACAATCTCACTAGATTAAGGTGTCGCCCGTTTCCCTTATAAAACATAGATAATAGTCTAGTACAGCAGTTCTTCAAACGTTTAAAGCTATAGAACTCTTGCTTCAAACAAAATCAGGCAGCAGTCCAGTGTATAAAAGAGATAAGGACTCAAGCACTGTGGTTGAAACTGGGATAGGGATCCAGAATTTTCTTCTCCCCACCAGTCATCGCTGTAGAGACACACATCCCAGAACTACCCTGGGATAGTCTCACACCAGTGCACACACCGGAAATGAGAGAAGGGCGATAATGCAAGAAGATAACACTCTCCAGTCACCTAAAGGTGCTGATAGATGTCTATTGCAATAATAAATCACATTATTATTATTATTATTTTAAAGATTTTTATTGGGTAATTGGGGGGATGGGAACAGTACTGGGGAATTAGGGGAAGGGGAACAGACAAGTTGCTGTCGTTTTGTTCTTCAATCTGGTTGTGGAGGACACTGCTTCACTGGCCCAAGTTGGCACCATCATTGCGCTCTTCCCTGGCGAGGCAGATCAGTCGCCGGCTTCTGGACGGCCGCTCACTGCGGCTGCTGGCCGCTCACGCTGGCTGCTGGCTACACACGGTAGCCCATGGCAACCCACTGCCACAGGGACTGCAGCCTACGCCGTCGCCAGCGACTCACGGCAGCCCAGCTCCAGGTTGAGCTGTTGTTCAGCATCTTAGCTGTAGAGGGCAGTGTCACTGGCCCTCATATGTGGGATCCGAACCGGGGCCCTCTGGCATCCCAAGCGAGTTCTTAACCATCGCGCCACTCAGCCGGCCCAATCACATTATTTTTTTAACACTTTGAGAATGTAGCAAAATGAGAAATGGGCAGAATAAGCAATTTAGATTTTGCCTGTTATTCTCTATTTCTATCTCCTGGTTGAAACACTTGGTGTATTACATGGTTGTGCTGTAAAATAAATATGGTCAACTAACTGTATAGTCAGTATTACTATTACTAGCTCCTTTAATAGAACTGGTTTTCCCCTAATTTGGGTTTTCCCATACTCAAACTTTGAATTTAATCCAATCACCAAAGCAATTGCTTTCTCCTCTGAAACAAAACTTACAGTGGTATTTTCCCAGCAGGAAAGATTTTGAAGAAGATGGCCTCCAGAAAGACCACCGAGATCCACTCTGCATTTCTCACCCTGCAGGCAACTCTAACCCAACAGTTCTCAAACTCTTTCACCTTCCTCCCAAACGTGTCCTTCCTTCCCAGTTCATGGTTAAAGGTTCTGCCACCTCACCATTCACAAAGCTAAAACAGTAAATACCATAAAAACAGCACCATTAAATTACTGGGGCTCTAAGCAAGCCATGTTATGTAAATCGGGGTTTTTCAAGTTCAGCATTACCGATGCTTGGGGCAGGATGATTCTTTATGTGCGTTGTGGGTGTTTAGCAGCATCCCTGATCTCTACCCACTAGATGCCAGTAGCCTGACCCTCACCCACTTTTAGGTTTCACAGTAGAAAATGCCTTCAGGCATTGCCAAATGTCTGCTGGAGGCAAAAATCAACTCCACTTGAGAACCACTGATGTGGATTATGTCTTTATTCTTCACAACACCCCACAAAGTAAGTATTGTAACTTCATTGCACACTGCGCAGACGTGGAAACTGGGCTTCTGAGAAATTAAGAGACATGGCCTTGATCATGTGGCTAGGATGTGGCAAAGCTAGGTTTCAAAGTACTGTACAAACTGTCTCCCCTTCTCTCGGGGCCTCTGTGCTCAGTTTCCCTTGTATCTAGTTTGTTATCTAACCATGTTAGTGTTTCACTTGGAATGGCTTGATTCTCCCACTGATTTTTATTTCCCAGGCTATTGCCTTAGCTCAGACCTGTATTTCCTACCTAGATTGTAATAACTGGGCTCTTAGTTTATCTCCCAGATTTCAATCTCTTTATTTTTCAACCTCCCTTTTACATTGGCCAGCAGAGTTAGCTTTCTCAAGAAGATCTTATCACATAAATGCCCGATTGAAAAACCTTGAGTGCCTTCCACATACCTATAGCAGAGATCTTCAGAGGTGGTCCTGGGACCAGCAGCATCTCCTGGAAACCTGTTAAAAATGCAAATCCATGGGCCTCATTCCAAACCCATGAATCAAAACCTTAAGGGTTATAGGGCCCAGAAGTTTGTTTTTAACCCACCCTCCAGGTGGTTCTGCTGCTCACTGAAGTTTGAGAACCTCTGGCCTCCTTGCTAGAGGTCTAATGCCTTAGGGTGCCATCGAAACCCTGACTTCTACCACGTTCCTTATTCCTACCTTCCCTCTTGTTCTATTCCACACACCTGCCCGCCCTTTAATTTCACTCTTTCATCAATTCTCAAACCTGTATTTCTGTTCTAAGCACCATACTATAGCAAGACCCTCCAGCTCCTAAGTGGCTCGCTGGCCTGGGGTTGCGGTGCTCCAGCTGTACTGCCCCGCCTGGACCTTGTCATTTTAAGCCACAAGCCTCTGCCATTGTGTCCCCTTCCTGGTGAACTCCTATGACTTTCGTGGCTCATTCTCAAATGTTCCCTTCCCTTGAGTTACTCAGAGGGCTAATTCCTAGTTTTCCTGAGCCTCCACTGGCTTTACACACCCACCTGCTATCTCACTCATCCCACGGTGGCATTAGCGCCTGTTTACCTAGCGCCTGTTCTAGAATACAGCTTATGTAAGGGAAGAGCCTTTTCTCAGTTTTGGATAGCCAGCATTATGGCCGTGGTGATCAACCCAGCACACATCAGAACCATCTGGGAACTATGGAATAATACCCCTAAGCGTACAGATGCAGAATCTTGCAAATCCATATTTTAAAAAAATGCGCACACCATAGCTGTGTGCCTTGCACAGAGCCGGTATTGAATCACTCTTTCTCGAATGTCTGTCTGATCAGTTGCTCAGCAAGGATGCCTACCCCTCAGCCTGCGTCTCCAGTTTTGTTTTTTCTGCTTTTGATTTCACTTTCCATTTCCTTTCACTTGGAAGTACTTGCAGGACAGTGACCAGTCATCACTGATAAAGGCAAATTTTTGTTTACGTGATTTTAATTACTGGCCTAATCGCTGGCATCTGAAGGGTAATACGAGTATATTGTTCACAGTCTCAAATGTCCTGCAGTCACCTCAAATTAGGGTTACCTGTTAAACAGCCTCTGCAATATCTTTCAGGATCCCAGACACCTTGCGGCTACTCGCTGACAAGATGTCATGGCTGATCTTCTTCTAAGGCTGGTTGTGAGACTTTAAACCCACACACCTGTAGAGGCCAAGCCCCTGAACTCAGCCGGGGCGATCTGGGCTGAACCTGTGATTTGGTCCGGGGGCGCCTGCGTGGAGCACGAATGGGGAAGTCCCTGGGGCGGGAGCCTTCTGCAGCTGGAGGTCAGAAATCGAAACTCAGCTGTTAAAACCTCTGCCCCGGCTCTTGGGAGTCGCAGGCTCGCTAAGTGTTCCAACCCCCATCCCTCCCGCAGCGGCGGCGACCAGGTCCCACGGGCTCTGAACCATGTACACCCGCAGTAAGGTGGTGGGCTCCAGGCTCGGCGCCTCCTCCGCCTCCCAGCCGACCCAGGACCCCACTGGGCAGCGCCCCGAGCAGGACCCGCTGCAAAGCCCCAGGCAGGGTGTTGAGGCGGACCCCGAGCGCCCTTCGCTGGAGAGCCCGGAGCGCGCGGGCCCGAGATTGTAAGTATTTACCACCCCTCGGCGGTTGGGGGGGCGGCCCCCAAACATACTCATAGGCAGCTTCTTGACCATTACAGTTCGAAACCACAGGGGCCCAATAACAGGGCATTTGAGAGAACGAAGGCTCCTTTGTCTGAACAAAAGCACACTTGTAACCTGAGGTGCCAGTCTGCGTTCCTTTCCATTAGGGGCCCCATACCTTTCAGAACCACTGTTCTCCTGATTCTGGGCCACAGGATGGGAAGACGTGGGTGTGGAGAAACGGCCTGGGCCTCTTATTCATTTCCCAGGTGTCTCCAGAACTCATACTCTGAGGAGTATGAAATTTTTTTCCCTTCCCCTTTCAAAAAATTGGTGCCTTAAATGGTATCTCCGCATCAGCGGCAAAGTAAGGGGGCAGTGGGAATCTGATATGGGAGGTCCCAATGCGGCCTCCAGGAGCAAGCCTGCATCCCAACAAAACTCCAGATAAAAGAGCCTCTTAGGACCAGAGGAGTGAGACGGAGTGAGGAAGTGAGGAAGTTTCCTGATGTTGGGAAGGGCTCTACACAGGACCCCATAGGGACTATTTACTCTTGATCTGTGGCTCAGGGGCTACCGTTGGTTTCCTGGAAACATTTATTATGCAAATTGTCAGCGGTGCTCTCTTTCTGCCCAGTGGAATGATGAGCTTCTGTAACTCAGCAGTGTGGTTTGTGAACACATTCTTGCTTTTGAAGAGCTGCCTCTGTGAATTGGAACTGTCCAAATGGTTTCATTTTTAGTTTCCCTTTTTCATCAGCTTCTAGGCCACGTAAAAGACAATGGTTGCTAAGGAACAATATATAACCTTATGGCCAATAAACACGTTTTCTTTTCATCCCTCAACTTTTGGAAGAATTCATAAGCACCAGGCTTTTAATATTATTCAGTTTACCCTTCGTTGGGGTGGATTATCTGGGTGACATCAGTAAGAGATTGCTGCATTTTTCTCCCCCTCAGAATAGCAGGTATCTTGCCACAATGCAAAGCTCATTAATTTCAAGTAACCTACATGTCTATAAGCTGTAGCATTAATGTAACAGAGGTCATGGACATATAATTTCAGGGTGATGATAAAAACTGTCTACCTGACTTTTTCCCTATTAAACAGCATCTCCTTAGATATAATCATTTAATTGCAAGCTCATCTCTCTAAAACGTTAGCAACTGCATGTATCTTTTTTTCTTATTTGATTGTAAATTGCCCTAGAATCTTGCTGGATTACATTGCTCAGAAAAGGGCAGTTTTCTAATGAGTTATTGAGGCCTCAATACCTGAAGACCTGACTGCATATTATTTAGTGATTTCTAGGGGTTGCCAATAGACCATTAGAGAGTATGTGGGAGAGTTCAGTTATGTTTCACAGGACCCTCTTTTTATTTATTTATTTATTTGTTTGTTTGTTTGTTTGTTTGTTTGTTTGTTTATTTCTCACATGGACCAGTTGCAATAAGCAGTGTTATAAGGTACATTCTCATGCAGGTGTTTAACATCAAGGTCTTCTTTGGACCACTCTGAATTCTTACATCTCCATTAGTGACTTATATCTACTGTTTATTCTCATTTCCCTCCTTTAATGGAAGTGGGAAACCAAGGAAAATGGTTGCATGGCAAATAACATCTCAGTAAAAGCAACAACAAAAAGCCATTAAGAAGATTTGAAAAATTTTTTTTTTCGGAGAGAAATTACAACCATTTTCTGATGGAAAATTAAGAAAAGGGGAGGACAAAATTAAGTGCTTATTAAGTTTTATTTGTTCACTCTCAGTATGAGCTTATTTATATGAAAAAGCTTTGAAATCTGGCCGTGTTTCCTCTCACAGGTCCTTGAGGGAAGCCCCAGTGTGGGCAGGGGAGGGTGGGCTTTGATGCCTGGCAATATCTACTCCTAAGGTGGGCCACCCTTCCAGCACCTTGATGTGTTCACTAATCTGGAAGCTCCCCAAGCCTTATTGTTTAATTTTTATTCAGGCTTCATTGCCTAGGCATAATTGATTAAAGCATTGGCCATTGTTGAATGAATTCAATGACCCCGAAATGGGGGCAGGGTGGGCCTAAAAGTTCCAACTCTCTGATCAGGTGGTTGGTTTTTCAGGCCAACCGCTGCCCTCCTGAAGCTATCTAGAGTTCCCCATCAGGAGTCATCTCATTAGCATATCAACACTCTCATTACTTGGAATTCCAGGAAGTTTAGGAGCTCTGTGCTCGGATCCAAGGACAAAGACTAAATACTTATTTTCTATTATACCACGGAAGTTTAGCCTTGTGGCAGCGAAGGAAGCTTGCGATTCAAATCTTCTTCAAAAAAACTTATTGGGGGTTGCATAGTCAACTGACAGCCCAGCTGCCACCCTTTTGCATCCATTATACCCTTTCTTCTGAGAGCACACTTACTCTGCACTCTTGCTGCTGGTATCTGAGCATTCCAGGGTCCTCGAGCCAGCCCATTCCTGGCCCATGTGGGACTCCTCTGTTGGTCAGCTTTTGCCAGAAGACTGCCCATGGATCTATTTCCTTAGAACTGTGTAGCAGTCTGCGGTTCTTCTTCCTTCGCAACTGTGCTTCCCTTTCTCCTTCCCCAGGCATCAGACCTGCTGGCGTTCTCCAGGCTTTCCCTTTTATCCTTCGCTGACATTCCCCTCCGTAAGTCTCTGTGTGTCTAGTCCTTGATGCGTCTTGATGTCTGCTGCTTGGAGAACCCAGACTGACACAGCCTTTAAGATGCACACACCCCTTGAGATGCACACACCCCTGCCACACAGCTTAGACACTGTTTGTGAGCTGGGAAAACCCACTCTTGTTTCTTGTTTCCTCCCTTGGGGCTCAGGGGACATTCCCTAGCTTTCTTACTCTGACTTCAATGCTTTTCACAGCTCATTGTGCTGCAGGGAAGGAAATAACCCTGGTAACTAATACTTTTCCTTTCCTTCATCCTCAAACTCTCAAAGGAGAGTGAGAGTAAAGGATGGCTAGGTAAGATCACTTATCAATAGCCAATCCCTGGTTTTGCTCTCTTTCCCCCTTAAAGAGCACTTTTCTAAATGTAAGATGGGATAGAAGGTGGGATATGTGATAACCTAATCATTAAGTTATAGTACTAGTCCAATTTTTATAAACACCACTATTAAATGATAGTTGGGTATATTCTCAACCCTGAAGTATAATTTCTTATGTCTAAAACAGATAATGAAAAACCTCTTCAGTCGTTCTTGTCTCCCCTTGTTTGAATCCAAACTTGCCACATAAAATAGTCTTCATTGGTGTGCCAGTGTTGACAAACTTATTAGAACCCATAAGAGCTGCTTTCACTGTGTCTTCTCCACTGCAGGGCTCCAGGTTTCTCTCCTGTTTCTTCTTATGACTGTGAGGAAATAAGCTTTGGCCCGTAGATGCTAAACGGCATGAAGACATCAGGGCATTACTTCTCCCTGGAGATGAAGAACTGAATAGTGCCCAACTTCCCTTTTGTGCTATGAAATAATAGTACATAGGAAGAGAAAATCTGTGATTCATTCTGATGATACTTTTTTTTTTGGATGATCCTCGTCTTGATAGCTCAGTACAGGCTATTCCGTAGGGGACTCTTTAACCCAATTTCCAGGCAAGGCTCATAAGCATTCAGAAGGCTTGTAAAACAATAGATAGTATTTAACAGATACTATTTAATGAATTTCTAACTTAATGATAAGGCTTGATAAGCTGGGCAGGTGCCTCAATGATTTCCAGATTCTACTACCTGACTAATCAGCAGAGCTCTGCCTATTTGACTTATTTTTGAAATGAGAAATGTGACAAAGCATGGCAATACTGTGGTAACCTACGGTGAATCAGTTGTGACCTCAAAGAGCTAAACTGGGGACTCTGAGAAACGAAACCAAAATAATAATAATGCGAACTCATGTCTTCAACTCTTAACCATGCACTAGATCTTGTGCATATTACATACATTGTTCAATTTTCTCTTCACAATAAATGTGCTGTTACTTTATAGAAAAAAAACCAAAAACCTGAGTCTTGAGAGATTAAACATTTCCCAAGGTCTCAGAACCAGCACTCAAACCAGAGTAAGTCTACCCCAGTCTGGAGCCTGAACACAACATGTGGCTGGAACAGGAAGTGACAGGTGCAGCTAGATAATTTCCTACCAGCCGCCATATTTTCACGTCAAGAAAATGGAACTTCTATAAGCTAGGGGTGCTACAGAAACACTGTGTGACATTTGTTGACAGCTTTAAAATGATTCGGCTAGAGCAGTAGCTTATAAGAACAAAGTGTCTGCGGGGATCCTCTTTTCTCTGCTGCTTTTCCCAAATGACAGCTTGGTGGGCTTGCATTAGAGCAGCTGTCCTACTGTCACTGTCTCTGAGCAAAACCTAAACCACTTACTGCCTTCTGTTGATCTTTCAGATTTCTGACCATTGCCCAGAGTAAGTGGTTCGTTTGATATGCATGACCCATTTCGTGTATGGGTATATATGAGTTTACATATAACTGAAAAAAAATCACAGAAATGGTTTTTACCCCCTACCATATGTGATAACACTCTTGGCATTTTCTCTTCTTAGTCACTAAAAATAAACTTTCCATTAGTGGGTTACCACCTACAGTTTGAAAAGCACAATTCTACGCATGGCAGAAGAGATTATTGGAGGGAATGGAAAGAGCAGACATTTTGGTTTGATTAGATCAAATTTACCCTCCTGTTTATGCAGCAAGGTAGAAATTATGGTCCTTTTTAGAATGAATTTCCAACTCTTCTGTGCTAGATTCCTCTCCTCATTATGATATGCATTTGCAGTCTGCCAAGTCTTGGGAAGTAATCATTTTTGTTCAAATACAATATCATCAAAAATGAGCGGGCATTTCTCAAAAAGCCTTTGACAGCTGAAATAGTGAAACAATAAATCAATGGGACGATGAAAGCTTGAAAACACATAATACCTATCATAACCAGTAAACGCATTGCAGAAATGAGAAA